CTGTTTTATCATATATGATATGGTCTTTCACTCTCTCTCTCTCTCTCTCTCTCTCTCTCTCTCTCTCTCTCTCTCTCTCTCTCTCTCTCTCTCTCTCTCTCTCTCTCTCTCTGTGCGACGTCTGTTTTGGTGGCCAAGTTGAGTTAAGTTGATTCAAGAACCGACATCACAACACTCTGGGCATTCTCATAAGCGCTTCGGACCCATCTTTAGCAGCCAGCGCAGAGCTCCTTTACCAGTGGTACCAATAGAATTCTGGTTACACGTCCGTCGCCTTTTCTCTGAGCTTCGAGTATCTGCGAGAACCCCTGCTCATTCCCTGCTGCACCACTCTCACCAGTCTGTGCTGACCCACTTGCCCCATCCGAATTGTACACGCTCTCTCGCAAGGTCCTAACCTCGTCTGCCTTATCATGCATCAGTATTTCACCAAATTGTATAGAACCAGCCAGTCTGTCCGCTTGTTCATTTCCCAACAAACCAGCGTACCCAGGAGAAAAGATCAAGACAATGCTCAATGAGTATTATTTTTTGAACCCAACTAGGACATGTCAGCCCAGTTTTATCATCAAGAAAACCCACTATTTACATTACTGTAATAGACAGTTTGTGGTGAGTACCAGCACCTTTGTAGACGCTGGGTGGTGAACACGGCTACCTTTTCTTATAGGAAAAATAAGGCCTGTCTAGTAGCACTGATGATTTCAATAAAAATCAGTCTTACCTGACTCCAATAGTCGGCATCAGAAAGGTGGCCAGACCAGTCATAAGCAAAGTGGCACTAAGGAGTTTAGCTTTGATAGCGTCATCGTTGCTGGCACACACCACCTCTGCCACTATGACAGCATTGCTCAAAGGATTGGCTATAGCCAGGAGACTTTGCTGTGAAGTACATTCAAAAGACTTTTGGATGTGAGTCATGAACTCTTACTCAATCATTGAACACGAAAAATCGAAGCTTTTAAGCTGAAAGGCTACAGACAAATTACTTAACCTGGCATTCTAAAAGATTGCTGAAGGTTGAGATGCTCAGCCGTACGGATGTGGACAGCAAGGGGAGACTACCACATTATATATCCCTAGAAACTCAACATGGAAGCTGAAAAAGTATCTCAAAGATCTGATGGTGAGACCCCCAGGTCATGCACGTAATCTACGCGAACTGGCGAAGAGAACAACGGCAGAACTAGTTAGTACAAGCAAGGAAGACGACGGCAGAAATGCTACTGAATGCGCTGCAGGGGAAGGCTCTGTCATTGGACTTAAACATAAAACGAAGATAGGAACATGGAACGTAAGGAGTTTATATCAAGGGAAACTGAGCATGGTGGCTTGGAAAACACTCTGATGGAAGGTGCAGTTTGTGGAAGGCCAGGCAGGGGTCGACTACCGCGAAGATGGATACAAGACATTGAGGATGCATTGGCATTGAAAGCACATGGGACCGGAGAGCTGGCTAGGAAGAGAATTTCAGGCGTGACGTGAAGAGAGCGACGTTTTGTAAAGGAATTGCTAATTGATGATGATAGACAAATTCGCAGAATAAAGTAGAACAAGAAGAAGAAAACCCCGATATCATAAAAGATCTAAGCATCGAGGACGAATGGCTCACAAACAGCATTATGTCTCGAAAGACAATTGGCTCACAAACAGCATCCTGTCTCGAAAGCTGAGTTATTTTGGTCTTGTAAAACATCATGATGGCAAGGAGAGACCGTTGATGAGGGTATAGTTTCTGGAAAACGAGACAGAGACAGACCTCCGCGAATATATATAGGTAATTGAAAATACATTGGCTGTGAAAGCACATAGGAAGACCTGCCCAGTGAAAGAGACTTTCAGGCACGCCGTGAGGAGAGCGACGTTCTATAAAGGACCTTACTGGCTGACCTTCAGTAGTAACCACACTGATCCCAAAGAAAGCTTATAAAAAGAGTCTTACCTCAACAATATCAGGGTCTTAGTTTCGAATACATCATCGAAGCAGATTAGTTAAATTGGTCTTGACTTTCAGGCCAACCTAGATCAAAGTGAGTACCAGGAAATGTTTCTGAAGTAAAAGCGACCTTCTTGAAATTGACACCATCCATGCGTATTTATCTATAAAATTTAGGCTAGCATCATAAAGCCAGAAGTGCGAACAAGACTCATGTACTTCACATAAGCCGAGAAGGTGTGCTGTTGTCTAGCTACCATGTACTATTCTTATGTAGTCAAGGGGGTCTAAGCCTTGTTTAAGTGTGCGATAATAAGAATAATAGTGCGCTGAATGGAATATTAAAAAACGAATATATCTGTAAGAACATGAAACGTATAAATCTACAAGATCCGACAATTACGTAATTATTATAATTAAGTATTATGGCCAAGACAAAAATGTCATCTACGAAGCACAGCATTTAATCTAAAGAGGCAACATTTCTCTATGATCTGGCAAATTTTCGTCGCCGCTCGATAAGCAGATAACAAACAAGCCGCCATTTTGTTGACCTGGTCAGATGTGCATTGTTAAGTAAACAGCACGGAGCAAAAAGCTAACATTGTGTTTTTTTTTTTTTTTTTAAACAAAAAAAGCACAATTGAAACAGTTGAATTGATGCAACAGGTTTATGGTGATAATTGTTTATTTCGTGCACACATTTTTCAGGTGGTATTCACGATTCAAAAGTGGTGTGGAAACAAATACTTATTCACCTAGACCTGAACGCCAAATTTCTGTTGACAATGATGAACTCACTGCAAAAGTCAGAGAACGTATACAAGAAGGTAATTATTTTACTGTGAGGAGGATGGCAGATAAATCTGGCGTTAACAGAGAGACCATAAATAACATTTTAATGAAAGTTTTCGGCAAGAAAAAAGTTGCTTGCCGGTTTTTACCACATTCGTTGTCTGATGACCAAAAACACCAGAGACATAATCAAAACACGAATATTTGGCCCAAAAACAGGTGTGTGTTTTCATACTTCCACACTATTCCACTGATTTGACCCTGTGATTACTTTCTACCAAAATTAAAGTTACGATTGAAAGGACGTTTCTCTAACAATATTGATGACATCCAAAGGGACGTAACATCGACTTTGAGGGCCATAACAACAGAACAACTAGAGTGGTCGTTCCAGTGTTGTTAAATCGTGCCACTTGCTGTATCAATGCACAAGCGGCTTATTTTGAATAAATTACATGTTACATCTTTAACTGTTGATTATTTTAATTTTAATGGAATTATTCTCATTACTTAATTTACAGACCTTGTATACCTAAACAGAGGAAGTATGTGCGTGAATAGAATGGTTACTTATCGAACCCCTGGGGGGGGGGGGGGGGGGTGATACATTACACATCATGAAAGAGGCGGGAGCCCGAAGACAACTTATCACAGACATCAGAAGGAGACAGTCATCATTTTTCGGCCATGTTATGAGAAGAGGGAAAATAGAACATGTTGTGACCACTGGAAAGATCTGTGGAAGGAGGGATAGAGGAAGACAACCAGAGAAGATGCTTGACAGTCTTCTTGCATGGCATGGAGGTGTATCGGCACACGAACTGGTACATGCTGCAGGAGATCGAAGATTATGGAGAGGCTTGATAGCCCACGCCAGTCGGCAAGGTACCTGATGATGATGATGATGATGATGTCCTAGTGGGGTAAAAGAAGATAGAAAGGTAATTAGTCATCTTCTTGTCGGATGCAATTTTTCATTATTTTGAAGCCCCACCCGGGCTCTTGCCAGGGTCCGCAATCTAGCCCGGCCATAAATATGGTCTATCGACTGAACGCGGTTGCTGGGACCTCTACACAGGTGTTCTTTATCCACATGGTGGCACTTTGTGTCATCGGGTGTTTATCGCTTGTGTGATGTCCTGGTGAGGTGGGATCTACTACAACCCCTTGGCGAACTTTCACCTCTAGGATTCAGCGTAGGACTGGGGGTGCGGGGGAGGGGTGGGAGCGCAAAGTCCCCTCCTAAAAAAGGGGTTGGAGACTTCAATGTACACGACACCCCTCCCCCTCTCCCCACCAGATACCAACGCGCCGGTAAACTAGTAATACAAGCCCCTACCCACACTGGACAACAAGCTACACTGTATAGTCGTAAGGTGTTGAAGGGAGTATGGGATTCGATCCTCTTGGACTGCCATCTGCAAAGTGCTTCTTTAACTCAGTGCGTGACTAACTTTGAGGTTGCAGCCGTAGATGTGAGGAATACAGATGTTGTCGAACCGATCATAGATTGTTTTAGCTGGCTGAGTTTACTAGGCAATTTTATGTTCAGTAGTTGGCGAAATAAATGACACGAAACTGTGTAGGCATTTAAGACACACACACAGAGAGAGAGAGAGAGAGAGAGAGAGAGAGAGAGAGAGAGAGAGAGAGAGAGAGAGAGAGAGAGAGAGAGAGGCAGAGAAAAAAAAAGAAAGACCAAAGGAAAAAACATTGAGAAGGATGTTAGAGGGTTAAGTAAAAATCCTTATTGGGAGAGCCGAATGCGATAGCGAAGGATATAACGACTTGGCGTAAGATGCTTGAGGGCCTATACTCCACTGGGGGTTAAAAAAAGCAGAAGGTTCCTATTATTATTATTATGTAATTAAACAAGACTTATACACTTAAGTGCGCCCACACCCAACAATTAATTTGTTTAGAAGACTGAGTCCTCCTTCCTTCCCTAGTACCCTCAGTATTTTTTTCTTTGCATAGGCGTCCCCAGACAAACATGATAAGAAACACCACACAGCATGGACAATGAGAAGATTTTTATAAATCTTACCTGCATTGCAAACAGCAATAGAAGAGATACGGGTGGAATCTCTGATATTTTATAAATCAGAGGCTTTGTTGTATGACTGACCATTTCCACAATGACTTCTTTTTCCACCGATGGTTGAGATTCACGTTCTTTGGCTTGTACATTCCCTGTTAGTAGCTTTGTCTCTTCATCTCCACCCCCGGTCTCTTTCGTGGTTTTCTCACTGTGTGTTTGCAGATCCATTGGGACTAGTTCTTGACAGTGTTCTGTGGCTACTGTTCGTGTGACCTGGCAGTACACTTTTCCTTCTTCCAGGATAGACATCAGCTGGCTTTACAAAGCCCTATACTGTACTTTTAAGACTTCCCTAAAAATAAAACAGGTCCATCCATTAGTATGGCCCTAACAGTGAACAACACACAGCGTGCTGTTTGTTTCCGGACTGGTTCTTGGTTAATGTCTTTTGTCCTTGTTCACAAAGAAACATTTCATCCTTAGGCCTGCATTTAGAAGGCGAGATGTTCCTGTGCAAGCATTCATTTTACGCCCCCTCTTCAGATCGCTATTCGTTAACAGGTTACCTACCAATAATACGTTGTGGATTGTTTTTAACGTAAATTTTAAACCGAACTAAAGTTTCCAAACATAAAATCTCAAAGTCAGAACGCTTATATATTGCTGGTTTTATAATGATAAAAGCAACAAAAATATGGTCACAACAATTAATAACCAATGATACCAGTGGCCCTGATTGTATGTTCGTCTTGCCTTTCCTCTTTTCTTTTCTTTTTGCGCAACAGAACAGATCAAGTATCCATACACAGATAGACAAGTTCAGAAAGGGGGAGAACATACAGACACACTAAAAGAAATTAACTCCGACAGTAAAGGTCCAACCTGTAAACTCCAATTCCTATACTTGTTGAAGAAACTAGTGAACACGAATTTTGACTCCTGGGCTCCAACAAGCTGCCCTTAAAATGTAAGCGAACAGGTGAGAGTAGAACCTGTAGACTCTAAAAAATCCTCTATGTAAATATCATCCTTATCATCATCATCATCATCATCATCATGTATCAGGTTCTTTAAAGAACGTCGCTCTCATGTCGGTTTGCCTCAAAGAAACTCAATCTTTCGCCAGCTCTCCCGCTTCACGTACTTTTATATTAAAGGAGTCACTTATATCCTGTGCTCAACTTGGTGTTGGTCGGTCCCTGCCCCTCCTTCCTGATAACATGCCTTCTGCTATTTTTTTCCCAATCCGCCATTGCGCTTGCCATGACCAAAATATTTTAGCTTTCGAGACAGTGTGCTGTTTATTAGCTAATCTTCCCTAATGTTCAGATGTATATGTACCAAGCCGAAATTAAAAAAAAATATTCTTACAATTTAAACAAATCACGTTTAACAGAAGAATGCAAACATCATTGGTGGCAAACAAACGGCCAACTCTAGTCTTGTGAAACTTGTGTCACATACAAAAAGGCGGAGGACAACATTTCGCTGCCAGATGACACCACAGCTGTAGGCCAACTTTAATAATAATTGACAAATCTTATTCATTTTGGCTATGAGTCGTTTTTGAATTATAACTTTCACTGACATCTGTGTAATGCGGCATTTAGCTGAGCTGAGTTAAGAATCGAAATTCTACTACATGCGATATTCCCATAAGCGCTTCGCTTAAAAAAAAAAAAAACAATAAAAAAAAGACACCACACAGATAAGGATACGTTATGTCTTACGAGACAATGGCTATAGTCTTCCGATTTATAGGAACACCGTCTTTCTTAAATTCGAAGTACATCTGCCCGAGAGGCAATGGAATAACATACAGCACACAGATAAGCTATTAAACTGGAAGTATATGCAAAACTCTTGTCTGGCACAAAGCCAAACTCAAAAAGGGTCAACAACTAGGTGAACATCAACAACCATTCTGTGCCCATCTAGTTGGCCCCTGTGCCTTTTTTCCTGATACCCTACCTCCGCTACTTTTTTTTTTTTTTTTCTAATCATCGTGGTCATTGATGTGGCCAGAATATTTAGTTTCTTTTTTTTCGAGTCAAGATGCTGTTTACGAGAGAATCTTCTCCAAAGTCCAGATCTCTTAGGATGTCAATATTCCCCCCCCCCCCCCCCCCATTTGGTCCATGGTATTCTGATAATCTGTCTATAGCAGTTAAACTATGTTTATTTTATAAACACCAGAAATGTCAACGTTTGTCAAATAACGTGCGTCAAAAATTCAAAAACATATCATCATCAAGTTTCCTGTGTAGGTTCAGGGGTCCCATTGTGAGGAAAATAACAATAGACCCACTGCCTTCACAAGAAGCATGTAGATGTCGACTAACTGAGGACATCCTTCGAAGTCGTACATCTGTCTGATAGGTAAGGAACCACGAGTCTGCATACAAATAATCAAAATAAGTGAAACAGTTGGGCTGGGAACAAGACTAAAGTCAAGAGATGGACGAACTCCCAGAACTTTCCCATGTAGTTTACAGCTCATGAATACGAAAAAGAAGAATTATCAATTGTCTTGCCGACTGGCGTAAGGATCATGCCTCTCCACAATCTGCTGGTCGTGTGTTGACACCCCTCCATGCCATGACAGAAGGCTGTCAAGAATCTTCTGGCGCTGTCTTCGGCTGTCTTTCATTCCACAGATCTTTCCTGTGGTTGCAACATGTTCCAGCTTCCCTCTTCACATAACATGACCTCACACACACAAAAGTTA